CCCTGTATTTCCAAAACACAAGTGCCACTGCTCCCAATGCCCTGGAGCACTGTCACCCTTCTCATCTCCCATCAGAGTCAAAACCGGAACGGAAAGGAAAAAAAAAAAAAAGAAAGAAAAACCAAGAACAACTTCTGCTGTGAATGCTCAATACTGAGATCACACAGGTCGGGTAAATGGGATTCAGCATCTCGCCGGTGGGCTGCCTGTGAATACTGGTGGTGGCTCAAAGCAGTTTAACAGCCCGTGTGAAACTAATCCATTTCTTTGTCGTGGGACTGGGTCCACGGGTTACAGCACTGGCCACGAGGCCTCAAGCCCACCCGTGACTGAGGGATGCTCCTGCTCTGGGGCTGCCAGGCTCCGGAGCAGAGGTCTCAAACAAGGGGAGCATCTGGGGCAACATCTAAAACACCTCAGCCTCATTTTGCTCTGTCTGGTCTCCTGGCTGCCAGTCTCAGCAGGGGATCCCAGTGCTGAGTACAGCCAGGAGACCATTCTTCTTCTCCTTTTAGAGCTGCCAGCTCTGCACTGGGAATGCACAGGTTGCAGCTCCTCAGTGGAAAGCAGCACTTGCCTCACCCTATCTGCAATTAGAGGGAAAAAAAGAAACAAAAAAAAAATAGAGAAAAAAGGCCCCTCCAGGAATTTAAAACCGTGACACTCTCTAAAAGCAGTTTTTAGATTATTTGAGAGCAAAGTGACTGTGCCTGTCTTGTTCAGCGCCACGCTCCAGCACCGTGGCTCTTGTACAACGGCTGCCTCGGGTGAAGTCTCAGAAAGGCCAAGGCTGATGGAGAACTTCGTCACCAACTCCCCTTCCCGCTCCTTCGTGCTGCTGCTCTAGTGGAACTTTCCATCTCTGGGACTGAGGACTCGGAAAAGGAGCCGTTTGCCTTGAAAGGTCAAGCGAGATGCAGCACTGAGCGAGGAGCCGCGTGCATTAGGAGGAGAACTGAAATCATTTGCAATTCTTGCAAAGGAAGCACTTTTTAATTAGTTTCTCTCTGAGTCAGACTAAAGACAATGTGGCCTAAAAAAACCACCAGAGCTACTTTTTTCCACTCATCTCTTCCATCTCCCTGCCCCTCTCCCCTCCCTGTCAAAGGGAAAGACGGACCTAAACTCACACCTGCATGTAAAACTGAACTGGAACGTTTCCCACGGATAACAAAACGCAGTCTCACCCACAGCTTTTTTTCTATCTGTATTGAGCAATTTCTCACAGAAAGGGCCGCTGAGTCCAGCACACAACCTCCACTAGGCTTTATGCAGGCTGGGACTCAATCCCAGAATTGGAAATTGAAGTGCTGGGAACATGCAAAGATCTCGTACCTACAGATGTATGTTAAACTTATAGTTCAATTATTTCTCTTTCTCAGTGTCAGGATGAAGCCAGAAGAGGACTTCCCAGCTGGTAACAACAGCACATTTCTGCAACACCTTCCACTCCAGGGAAAAAGAACAAAACACCGCGACCCCACCCAAGGATCCCCTACCTCCAAGCTGCTCCCTGAGAACCCTCACCGAGCTCCCAGCCCCAGCCCCATGGCACTGCCAACGCATTCTCTGGGGCAGCAGCTACTGAGGTGTCACAAATGTATAAACTGGGGCAGCTCAGCTCTTGCCCCACAACAGTATGAGCCTTCCCTGAACAGAAGGAAGTCTTTGTGGAGATCTCCAACATGATGATCTTCATCAGTGGTGGAGCCAGACAGAAGTCACAGGCACAACTGCAGCGGTGCCGATGCATCTTGCTTGGGGGACAGATCCCTAGATCTCATCCAAGGCTGCAAACTACCTGAATTTCCTGGCTCATCTGGGACACAGAGAGAGCTGAAGTTTGTAGTAGAAGCGTAACTCATCAAAGGCCATGCAGAGAGGCAGCAGCTGAGCTATGGTACATGCTAACATGGTGCAAATGGGGATCTGATACTGACCTCAGTATCAGTACCCTTCTGAGCCAAGGGGGAGTAAAAAGAAGGAAAAACACAGTAATTTACACTAAGTCTTTAGCCCAAACAACACCTTTAGTCAGTCTTTGGATCTGCAAGTTCGAGCCTCTGAAAATTTTAGATCCCAGGTTCAATATTGACAGATAACTTGCCAAGGGGATTTTCCCAAAGGGAACAAAATCCAGAACAGATCTGTCTTATGTTACAGACCATGGCTCCCACCAAACACACAACCGGTACACTGCAGCTTCTGGGTCCTAGTTTAGAACCAAGTTCTAGTTCTATAAGCACCAGCAGACTTGTGTGGGTTCCCATTCCCACGCATCATAGAATCATAGAATGGTTTGGGCTGGAAGGGACCTTTAAAGTCACTCAGTGCAACTCGCCCTGCAGCAAGCAGGGGCATCTTCAACTAGATCAGGTTGCTTAAAGCCCCATCCAGCCTGACTTTGAATGTTTCCAGGGATGAGGCACCTACCACCTCTCTGGGCAACCTGTGCCAGTGTTTCACCACTCTAAGCATAAAAAATGTCTTCCTTATCTAATCTGAATCTGCCCTCTTTTAGTTTAAAACCATTATTCCTTCTCCTACAACTACAGGCCCTTGCAAAAAGTTTGTCCCCATCTTTTTTGTAGGCCCTCTTCAGGTACTGAAAGGCTGCTAGACTTCTCTTCTCCAGGCTGAACAGCCCCAACTCTCTCAGCCTGTCTCCAAAGCAGAGGTGCTCCAGCCCTCGGATCGTCTTCGTGGCCTTCTCCGGACCAGCTCCAACAGATCTGTGTCTTTCCAGTGCTGAGGACCCCAGAGATGAATGCAGCACTGCAGGGGGCTCTCTCCAGAGCAGAGCAGAGGGGCAGAATCCCCTCCCTCGACCTGCTGCCCACGCTGCTTTGGATGCAGCCCAGGACACGGTTGGCTTTCTGGGCTGCAAGCGCACATTGCCGGCTCATGTCCAGCTTTTCGTCCACCAGCACCCCCAAGCCGTTCTCCTCAAGGCTGCTCTCAATCCCTTCATCCCCCAGCCTGTATTGACACTGGGGATTGCCCCGACCCAGGTGCAGGACCTTGCACTTGGCCTTGTTGAACCTCATGAGGTTCACAAGGGCCCACGTCTCAGGCTTGCCCAGGTGCCTCTGGATGGCATCCCTTCTCTTGGGAGTGTCAACTGCACCACTTAGCTTGGTGTCACCTGCAAACTTGCTGAGGGTGCACATGATCCCACTGTCTATGTCACTGCTGAAGATATTAAACAGTACTGGTCCCAACCTCCTCGCTAAAGGATGACTGTTCAAGCAAACTTAGAGACTCTCAGACTTCAGTGCATGCATTCCAGCTCCATACATTGCCACCCACCCTTGAGTCAGGAAACAAGGCTCAAAGAAACTATTTCATGCCACTTTGGACGACTGCTGTTATGATTTCATGTTCACGGAACACTTAAAAATGTAAATTATTTGCAAACACTAAACACTGTTATTAACAGACTTCAGGGACATTAACTGAAGTCCTATGACGATCACAGCTGGGTAACAAAGGTCAGGGAAGAACAATGCATATAGCACAACGACCACGCAAACCATTGTCTTTTACACATATGGTATGCTTGGGAAGAGGAGGATACAATTCGAACGTTACCACAAGAATGGACACTATGCAGTTCACATTTTAGGACCCTTCTTTCCCCAGTAACAGAACTGGGCAATAAGCTGAAGTGCTGAAAGCTGAGCGCTTTGCGAAGCCTCGAGACTGCCTCTGCACAGGGAAGGTTCTCAGCTTCCTTTTGATACGCAGCATTTACTATTAGCCAAAATCAGTCAAGATACACAAGGTACCGCAATGCCTCGTCCCACCCTCATTCTGGCTTTTTACCTTCACAGACTCTCCACACTCACCTCAAGGATCATCCAAGAGCTAAACAAACCAGCTTTATAGTCCTGAGCCAAGCAAGGCACAGGATCAAAGGGAGAGTCTCCTCCCAGAACAAGGCGACCTCCCACCGACACCTCAGACTTCGTCTCCAGTCTGCCCAGACCAGAGGTCCACACACGACCAGAGTCAGCAGCACTCACGTGCTCCCAGTTAATACACAAGCACCACAGCCATGTCTGACACAGCATTCAGTATTTCGCCTGTTCTGAGCTTTATTTTCTAACTAGAGCAGCTTGACAAAACATTATGCTGGTCAGAAGAGCAACGCTCTTTTGCAAGAGCAAAAAGCAATGCCGTACTCACACACATATCCGAATTAAGTCCAAAATTCTGTTTCTAGATAAGACTAGGTGTTCTGATGGGACCAGTTCAGTGCTTTTCTAATGCTCTATGACAGAGAGGAGACCAAAAACGCACCAAATCCCTGCAGAGCTATGAGAAGTAACTAGTCAAGGAATAATAAAGCCATGGAAAGAAAGGAGGGCGGGGGGAAGATAAAGGGCAGTGTTTTTTTTTCCTAATCCCACTGACACATTTATTAAATCCTCAGATTTACGTGCAGACAACTCACGGACAACCATGCAGGAAAGACTCCGTCAAATTAACGTGTGCGCTGCATCCTGCGAAGTAAAAGCAAGCAGGAACAGCACAGAAGCCACGAAGCATCCCCACAGCAAGGTGTGGAGTGTCTAACCCCACCGCGATTGGTGCCTGTTCTGGAGCAACAGAGAAACTCCCAGGAAAACAGAAAGTTAACTTTAATAGAGAGAGGAAAAGGGCTTGGTCATTGTGTGGTGGGGATCAGAGTCCAGTCAGAACCAGTCACACAGGAGGTTCAACGTCACTGCCTTGCACTTCACAGCCACACCAAAGCAGAAGTGAAAATTAGATATCGTTCTCTAGGTGGGTGGCGATGGATGGACTGAAAAGCAAGTTTGCATCTTCTGGGGAAGAACCCTGCTCAGAATAAACTCGGGAGAACGGAATCACTCTGTTCGTGGGAGCACGTCTGAGATCCTCAGGGGACAGAGCACATCTCCAGGCCCCCAGCTTTGTTCCCACCACATGCTGACCTCATGAGCAAGGTCTGGCCCTCAGTCAAGGCAGGTGCTCACCTTCCTCTTTGTTGTTGGTGATATCTTTCAGCAGCTCAGTCTTCATGCAGGCGTCTTTCCTTGTCTCTCCTTTACTCAGCACTGTTCGCTAGGGGTGGGAAAAAAAGAAATATGGTTGAGCTCAACGTTCACACTCACGTTGCACTTGAAACAAGAGACAATCATGGACACATCCTGTTTACATCACGGGCAAACCTCCCTCTGCAAAAAACGCTGCCAGGAAACTGCCACCAAGGCACAGGTCAAGGATAAAAGCAGCAAGGCTTGCCCCAGCCGACAGCCCGCCTCGCCCGAGACGCGGGGAGGCTTCAAGCTGCGCCCAGCGCCAAGACCTCACAGCTCTTTCGAGAAGATGCAGCCAGACAGATGTTCTGAGTGCAACGTGCTTGGGAATCCAGCTGTGTACGTCTGCGCAGACAGAGATTAAAATGGTCATGAAAGGCATCTCGAGAAGGTGACCCTTATTCCCCCCCAAATTCTTAGGTTTTGGGTGGGGGGAGGCAGGTCTATCAAACTTCTCATGACACATCACTTATTGATGTTTACAGCCCATGGTGCTTTTGGTCGTTTTGGTTTCTTTTGTAGTTCATTCAAATGTAACTTATAAAATGCAAACTATCAGTGAGCTACAGCTAACTCATCACTGAGAACATCCATGTTTATTAAAGTTAATGAGCTCTATTTTTAATTCTATAGAAAGTAATTTTTCTTTTTTTCCCTCTTTTTATTTATATTTTTTTTTGTAAAAAGGGAACACCTGCTCGTCTCCTTTGCCTTTCACATGCCTGGAATCACATTGCTAGATCAGGTTTGTAGCCTTAATACCTTCTCTTTTTTTTTTTTTGAAGCGGCAAGACAAAAAAAAAAAAGCTACCAAAATCAAACAAAAGGAAAAAGATATAAAAGAACTCCAAACACACACACAAGAGAAGGGGCCCTTTGACACAGCTCTGTATTTAAGGAGACAAGCTGGTCTGAAAGGTGAAGATGGCGACGGCACTGCAAAGCTGCCAAGCGATGGAGGCGCCAGCGATGCCCGGCACTGGGGCCAGGCCGGGTTCACCGCACGCTGCCTGCGTCGCAGGAGAAGAATAAGCCCAGGTCAAGCCAACTGTTGTAGGCCAGCACAGAGAGCAGATGGTGCCCGCAGCCATGCAAATCACGAGGTTTAAAGCTCACTGAGTGATAAAGAAAGAGAAAAAAACAACCTGCCCGTCTCCCATAAACCAAGCGAAAGAGAAGACGCACGTACAAAGCCCCGCGTATCAGTTCCCAAACCATTCCCAGCAGCAGCTCGCCCTTCCCCACAGCAGTGTCTGTCCGAAGCTAGCAGGGCAGATGAGCTTTGGCGTTGCTACTACCAGCCACCCTGTCTTTTTTGTTCCCGTGTGAACCCAGCTGCAATGCCAGGCACTGGCAGGTAGTGCAGCGCAGGGTCTTCCTTCACCCG